AGTGAATATATACCCTTAAGGGTATATAAGCTTAGGTACCCAAACCCATCATAATACGTCATTTTGTTTGATATATTCATTATAATGTTATTAAACTTAATCCCTAACTTGATTTATTTTCAAGATTTTCAAAAATTCACTATTATATTCCTCTTACGTCACATCTTTTTGCCGAACACCTACTAGGCTATATATATTATAGTTGAAAATGAAAATTATGTAAGAGGAAGATAAATATGAAATTTATAAAAATCTTGAAAGAAAATCAAGTTAGACGTTGAATTATAAGAATATTGGACAATTACAATGTATATATATATATGATACAAAACGATGTAGTATGGTGAGTTTGGATACCTAAGCTTATATACCTTAAGGGTATATTCACTTTTCCCATATATATATATATATATATATATATATATATATACACACACACACACACAAACACACAAAAACCTATGCCTAATGTCCAAGGAAAGACTGTGATCGCATCCATCGTGGATGACCATTACCGACCGGAGACTGATGTAGGAAACTCTTAAAATTAACCCAGACAACGTCCTAGGGATGACATTGACAATTTTACAACCATCATCATCATCATTATAGTTCTGCCCCGAATGAGGCAAGGGCAAACACATTATTCAATCAAAGTTGGGATCCATAATGAGAATCTAATAAGACTAACATCATGCTCATCGGAGACAAAATGAACTTAACCATAACCATCGACAACAAAAATTTGTCGATGGCTACACCGCATTCACATATGCAACTCTAACTATGTATCAAATTCAAGTTGTAATCTTGTTTGTCGTGGTCTTTGTTTTCTTCTGGTTATAGTGATTTGATACGCAACGGTTGTCGAGAACAATTTTCTCCCATCAGGATACACTCTACACTCACTCAATCGAGTCATTTTTATGCCTTGAGTCGTTTCGTATATAAAGTTTCCAAGCCTATAAATACCCCCTTATGTCATTATTGATGCACATCTTTACTTTGAGCGTACATAAATCATTTTTTGATGTAGAAGATCATCAAAGAACTCATTTAAAAGAAACTTTTTGTTATTTTTTTAGCAATTCAATCATGCAAAACACTTGTTGATTCATACTAAGTGTTGATTCGATTTTATCCATGAACAACTAAAAACACCAATTCTTTCGCTTTTTAGTTTGATGTTCAACTATGCGTGATATATTTTGTTGGATTGATTTTTGAAGTCATTTTTAATTAGTTATCTAA